GCTGTGGGTCAGGTGGGATCCAGTGATTTAATCACCCGGGCTGGCCTAATTTCTTTACATTTGTTACTTTTTTGTGTGTATACTGTCAGTGCTTAGAAACACATTTGACTTCCGTGTGTAACTTTGTATCTTGCGAACTGTGTGTGGATCAGGGCAGTTGAGGTTCCTTCCCTTGTGGTCCACTGTCCTGCTTCCCTTCCCTGGAAGACGCCCAGGAGATGAGAGCTGGTGGGCAGCTACCCCCGCCTGTCCCTGGTCCTGGAGGACTCTGGCTTCCACCTGGAGCTCGGCCCTGGCTATCAACGCGACGCTGACAGCCCTGCTCAGGTGCAGAGCTGCCCCCAGGTCGGGCGGACAGGGACCTGCTCGCTGTCGTACACGCTTGCTCACTGGCGTAGTTCAGTCTGCCAGAAACCCGACGGCGCGGTGGCACGGCACTGGTGTTGTTGACAGTGTTTCCCAGGTTAGTGCGGTTTCCCTCCTTCCATGCTGGCAAGTCTGGGTTTACCCTGAAGCTCAGTGTTGATGAACGAACACGTCCTGGTTCTTGCGTGCCTTTGGTTGGGCTCCAGGGGGAGCGGCCGTCTCAGACAGTCCCACCCGGCCCTGCTGCTGTGCTTTGGGGGGAAGTGCTGCTGAGCTGCTCACACCTCCTGCTGGGAATCCCGGTCAGGTCACCAGGCGTGGTAGGAACGCCTGCTGCTGGTGGGCTCTGCAGCCTCTGCTCCTCCAGTCTCGCTTAGCCCACGAGGAACAGAGTGGGCTGTTTCCGCTGCGAGAGGGCTGGGAGGGGGGAAGCTCGACCTCCATGCCAGCCCCACTGGAACCTTCTCCTCCCCGGCGCCTGAGAGTGAAACAAGGACACCCAGGGAGCTTGGCAGCCACCACTGCCCCCAGGATCCCACGTGGCCACATGAGGCCCTGACCGGGCCAGACCCGAGGACTTTTAGCCCACTGTTCCATTTCTTCCCACAGGCGGTGACATCACTGAAGAGGCAGGGGTCCTGCCAGGGGCGGCAGCTGCCTCCTGGAAGAAGAGGTTCTAGGAGGGGCTGGGCTGTGGTGTGGACCTGCTGCCCTTGGGGCAGCCTGAAGGCACACAGGCTCTGGCCTGCTCGGCTCAGGCAGGGCATCCACTTGGCCCCTGACCAGTGGCGGGAGGAGCAGTAACAGTAACAGCCCTTGGCACTGACCCCCATGTGAGCCTGGGCTCACAGGGCCTCTCCTTCCAGTGCCCCCACACCGTGTGAAAGAAGCTCTGTCACCCCCACCCGAGAGGAGCAGAGGGGGGAAGTACAGGAGGGCAGCGCTCCTGCCTGAAGCCCTTTCCTTCTCCCTGCGGGAAGCCTGTGGCTCTGGGCCGGCCACTGGGTCCAGCGACACCAGCTCCTCTCCACCCACCTCCCCTGCAGGACCATGTCCAGTTCTTCTGTCCGGTTTCCTGTTGCCAGAGGCCCAGGAGTGGTAGACCCATCGCCCTGCACACCTGAGGCCCCGTGCACTCTCAGAACTGCTGGGCGACGAGGACCCACGTTCCCTGCGGGCACAGGCACTCTCTGCCCGAGGACGCCAGCCAGCTGCTGGGAGAACTCAGATGGTAAGAGGCAGAGGCGAACAAGGCCAGGCCACAAGGCCCCAAGCCTGGGGCCCCCAGTGTGAGCCACAGGCCAGGGCTGGCCGGTGCCTTGCCACCTTCACTCAGGCCCCAGAGCCGTGGTCCTCTGTGTAGTCCCACAGCAGGATTGGGGCCCATGGCCCTTCCTCTGCCCTAGGAGGTGCGGGGCCACCATTCGGGGCTCCAAGTCCTGTTGTGAGGAGGGGACTCACAGAATCCCACCTTCCTGGCTTCATGGTAAATGCATTTCCGTTTTCACTGTAAAGAAAAACCCTCCTTTCAGATTGCCTGTAACTGACTTTGCTTGATGGGGTTGGAACGGGGTGGGCTGGACCACGCTGGCCTGAGGACAGCTGGAGGGTGGCATGGGGGAGACCTGAGAAAGCCTTGCTGTCTAGCTGGGGTGGTCAGCTGACCCCTCAGGATTGGTCAAGGCCTCCCTCCCTGGGCAGCTGCATTCCGGGTCCAGGTGAGGCCGATGAAAGGCCGGGCCGCCGGGCCTGACCCAGGCCGCCCCAACAGTGCCCCCATGCTCCAGAGCACCTGGCCTAGCCCTGTGTCCCCCATTCCCTCCCTAGGACTGACCCTCAGCACTTCCCACACCCCAGTCTCTGTCTTGGCATCTATCCCTCGAGGAACTGCCTGGGACACTTCTACACGAGGGAGTCACTGGTGGCAGGTGGCCACAGAGGGGCTGGTGGAGGCCACCTGCGCAGAGGCTGGCCTGCGTCCACACCCAGTGCTCACCTGCACCAGTGGGGGCTGGGGTCCCGTGGCCTGACCTGACTAAGGAAGACCCCGCCGGCCAGAGCTGCAGGGTGGGTGGACAGGACAGACCCAGTCCCGTGGCCCCGCTGTGCCCACGGTTGCTGCCAACCACACGACACTCTCAGAAGTGAGCAGGAAGCACAGCCTGGCCCAGGCAGCCGCATTGCCATGCAGAGAGAGGTTCTAGGCCCGAGCGTCTGAGGCAGCCCACCCCCTGGGGCTCTTCTCCGGTCTAGGCGTTTCTATCCTGAGGAGGTGGCCCTGCACGGGGCAGGGGCTGCATGACTTCCTGAGGTCTGGAGGAGAGGTCTTAGGACCCCAAGCAGAGTGACGAGCAACAGGACACTGCCTGCCCCCACAGCCTCCCCAGCTTCCCAGGCCTGAGCCAGCAGAGAGCCTCAAGTCCTACTGCAGCATCAAGGGGCTTCCCAGGGCCCCGACAACCTGGCCACGAGCACAGGGCATGCACAGCGCCCGGGGTCAGTCCCCAGCTCTCTTCTCTGCTCCCTGCCTGAGGCGGCCTGGCTCCAGCTCCACAGCCCCTGCCAGCATCCCGGGCTCTCTGGGGCCTTCCTGCACATGGGCAGTGCCCAGCCAAGGCACTGAGTGTGCGCTCCCTGCCCACCCACAGCAGGCCCCACACCACGCTGGCACCCCGCAGACCCAGCTCAGGAAGGGGCAGGTGGGGGGTAACCACAGCCAGCAGCAGCAGGCCAGAACCGCCCCAGCTGCAAGCCCCACCTCAGAAGCATGGCCGGCCTTCTGGGTCCCTGCTCGGGGCCTGCTGGGTCCCTGCTCGGCCCCTGCCCTCCAGGACAGCCCAGTCCACTGCTCAGGTGCCCAGGACCTTCGTGACAGCCAAGAGCACCCTGAGCTGGGGCTCGTCCTGGCCTGGAAGAGGGTCTTCTGAGTCCGACTTGTCCCCTTTCCTACCCACACACACCCACTCTCTCTCCCTGACCCTCCTGCACCAGGGCTGAGAGTCTGATGGTGCCAGGAAAGCAGGAGGGGCCCATGGGAAGGTGAAGCCGCTGCTGGAGCTGAGAGTGGTGTTCAAAGTGCACCAGGGCACCCTGGGAGGGTTATTGCTGCTAACTCACCTCCTGAATTTGTAAATATTTAGTGAAAGTAGATAGTGGAAGGAAGGGAGGAAGGAAGGGAGGGAGGGAGACGGAGACTGGATTGGAAAGGTTGTGACTTCCGCATTGGGGCAGGGGCCTGGGCCCAGGTTTGCTGAAGGAGTCATTCCTACTGGGGAGGGGAAGCCAGGCGCCTGCTGGTGACAGGTAAGGCTGTGGCAGGCCATCCCCAGGCCTAGAGACATTCCAGGGCTTCCTCAAAGTCGTGGGTCTCTGAGCAGCGGGCCCCGGCCTCTGCCTCCAGGAACCGGACACACATCCCACACTGAAGCCCCCACCCAAGGAAGGCTCCCCTCCCCCGCCAGCCCCACCGGGTGGGCTGCGAGCCGCAGGGTGCAGGTTTCAGCGCCACCGCAGCCGGGTACACGGGCAGCTCCGGGCTCACGACTAAGCCCCCAGGACAGGGCTGCAGGGCTGCAGGCGCGAGGTACTCTGGGTACCACCGCGGCTCACAGCTGGACCCTGGCCGGCCGGAGGGTCGCGGGTGAGAGTGGCAGGCCCCTTCCTGAGCCAAAGTCCACGGCGACGGGCCCCGAGTGGGCTGCGCCTGCCGGGCTGCGGTCTGCGGCGGGCAGGAGGGCGACTGGGAGCGCGGGGCCGGCGC